AAAAAACATTTTCTGCAAGGACATTTTATCAAAGGACGTTTTCTAAAAGACAAAATTTAAAAGGACATTTTTTGCGAGGACCAAATTTTGAGGACATTTTCTAAAGGACATTTCCTAAAGGACATTCCTGCCATGATTCGTCATGCATATATCGAATGGTGATCGGTTGAGTACGACGATGAAATTCTTTCTATATAGACTCAGTTAAAGAATTATCTACGAACAAAAAAAGTTACTTCGATTCGTCGAAACTCGTGTCGTAAGTTTTTCTCGAGATTGTTTGTATAATCACGGGCATAAGTCCAATGTTCTCTTGCCATGTCGTTTAGACTATGAAAAAGGGTAACAACGGTGTTCTTAGGAATATACAACATGTAATTTACATACACTTCCATAATCGCATCATCGATTTTCTTTTGATTTTCGTCTCTGATCAACAGATTTCTTTGTCGATTTGCATATTCAGCTTCAGTCAAAATTTCTCCGTTTCGATTCAACTTCAAAACAAAAACTAATATATCAGTATCCTTCTACTTTATTGTACACACTAATTGTGCTTTTCGTAGATGCTTTTGTATGCGATCTTTGGTGAAAAAATGCTTTGTATGTTCGTCATCAAGACTGATATAAGGTCTTTAAGAAAGAAGTTATGATTAGGAGTAGAAGTAAGATTGTTTTTGAAAAGTAGAAGAAACTTACCGTGTTGGTCGTGTGGGACTAGACATTAGTTTTGGAAACTTCTGAATAGAAATAATCCTTTCAAATGGAAAAATGAAGGAATAGGCTTTAAAATTAGAAATCAATAGCCTAAAGAATGAGCAATGGCAATTTTATTTCGAAGTTAAAAGCTGGTTGTAGATTGGTATTATCTCCTGTAGTATCAAACAAAATCAATTCAGTTTTTCTCCCAATACTAAAGACAGGGATCGAGAGATTTCTTGATAGTGATCAGCGCCTGTAAAAAAAACAGACTTTCTATGAGTAACCGTGAAGAAAAACTGTCAAATAATGTAAAAATAGCGTTCATAGTAACCCTCATAGACATATACAATGTTCTTGAAAACCTTTCTTTTCCCGTTTCTAACGACGAAACGTTCTTCTCTTTGGGAAAAACCTATTTACAGCCAAGTTTTGTCTCCTGCATGTCAATACTTTTCACGATTGAAGAGTAAACCTTCCGCTTGACACTATTTCCATTGAAATGAATAGGGAAACCAATCTAACGAGAAATGTCTTTTTCAAATAGTCTCTGACATGAATAGGTAATGGAGTGAATCAGAGTAAGATCGGACTCTTAAGTCCAAGATTCTCCTCAGAAAGACAGTTGTAAAAACTTTAATACGCTGCATGTATCATCGAATATGTTAATACGATGATTTAAATTTTCTAATAGATATGTTAGAACTTGTCTAGGAAGAAATTTACGGTAGCAATTGATAGGCATTTTCCTGCATTTGAAGCGTATGAGTCAAAATGAAATATAACTCATTGCCATCGATAACGACACAAAGTACAGATCAATTCTGTACTTTCATTGTAAAATTGCTGTTTTTCATTGCGTGCATCACTTTTTACAATCAATATGAATCTTTATAGAATGGTTATCACATACAATAAAAACCCTATCGAAAGGGCGGTTATACACATTCATGATAAAAAGTACTTAATTCATCAACTACTAAGACATCTTTTTTTTGTAATTTTATTACCTTTACATATATACCTACCAGACGGACTTGTTTTCTTCGTTTGCCATTCATTACGAAAGTGAAACAAAGATGCCCGGAAGTAAACAATGTACCACATGTAACAAAGGTGGTTTCATTATGTTGTGTGATCGATGTCAACAGACATTCTGTGATAAACACATCAATGATCATCGACAGCAGTCGCCTCATCAATTAGATAATATTCTTCAAGAACATGACTTAATTCAAGATGAACTCAAACATTCGTCCACAAAACATTCGTTATTTAAAAGCATCGATCAATGGGAAAAAGAATCCATTGTTAAAATACAAACCACAGCCGAAAAAACTCGAAATGAACTACGACAAATGATCGAGGAAGCAAAAGAACGATTGGCATCAGCATGTCGTGAAGTCGTCGAGAATCTTCAAGCGGCCCGCGAAGCTCGACAGTTCTGCGAGAATGATCTTCATCGATCAATGCAACATTTACAACAACTGAAGACAAAAATTGCTTCGCCATTATCTGTTGAATTAATCGAAAATAAAAATTCGGTCATACATTTGATTGGTGTCAAGGGAACTGACTTCCTGCATAAAGTATTGGAGCAAACAAAGACCTATTCCGTTACGAAACGTTTGCCACTAACAACACCGGGTATCCAAGAAAAGTTTTCCAAGGCCATCGGTCCGGCAGTGATCAGCGAAGAAGGTTTTCTTGTCCGACATCACGGCCAAAGTTCTACCTTTGCATACATCCTCGGTGAACAACTCTATTCCAAAGGTCAACATACCATTCGTTTCAAAATCGAACAAAGTCAAGTGCCTTACAACATCTTTTTCGGTTGCATCTCATCTCAAGTAAATTCGACTCAGATTCATCATGATTCACCTTGGGTAGCCGGATGGTTTGGCTATAACGAAGTTCATCATCATGGTACGACTGAAAAAAACGTGCAAATGCACGGTTATGATAGCGATAAAATTGAAACGTACGATGTTTTATCATTGATACTCAATTGCGATCAACGACAAATCGAACTGTACCCCGAACGTTTGAAGAAAATACACGAATTAGCAATTAATATAGATGAAGCACCTTTACCATGGCAACTCATCGTCATATTAACATATAAAAACGATTCGGTCAGGATTTTACATAATGCTTAGGTTTAACGCATAGAAGAAGACAACTATCAAAATAAATCCATAGATAAACGTTGGTGAAGTTAGCACCATATTCGAGTAAAAGCTTTCCACATTCGTTTAGGAATGCGTTCCAACCGTTCCAATCAGCGTTCCAAGTAGAACTCGGCGAGCTCTATCTAATGGTGTGTTTATATTTTCCGTAGTTGAAACGATAGTTAAAAAAATTAAAAAATACTTCATTTTTTTAATAAAATGCTGGCACCATATTCGAGTAAAAGCTTCCCATATTCGTTCAGGAATGCGTTCCAACCGTTCCAAACAACCATCTTGAGGGTGTGGGTGAGGGTGAGAATGGGCACAGATGAGGATGTAATCGTATTGCCTTAACCCTCACCCTGGAAGAAAACATACAAGGATCTACCCTTGACCGTAGCGTATTGGACTATGTAGTGAAAGCGTGGAATGATTTTTCATGAAAAGTAGTATAATAAACGTAGATCAGAATATTTAAGATACCCTTACTCTGAACACGTACAATAATCTATCAATTTTGATCGAACAACATACTATCATTGTGGTTTTGCAGGATAATAAACCCCTATATGATTGTTATATATCCTTGAAGGGTTTGTAAACACTTTTCTAAAGGGCAAGAGTTTATCATTGTGCGGTTTTTTTCAGTGTACAACTAGAAGATTTAAGAAGAAGAGTGACTCCAGATACGAGTATACTGAATGTAACGTCGGACTTTGCATAGCATATAGTCTCAAAGGCCATCACACTCTGAAATACTTCTAGATGGTTTTTTTTCCAAGCGAATACAAATAAATATGTCATAGAGAAACTCTGGAAAAATCTCATTTATCTTAAAAGTAACTTCGTCTCGAAGGGGTCAATGCTTTTTTGTCATATGAAATAAATATACCGTTTGTACAAAGCCGATCAATGAATCGCGCCGCCGTCAAGATCTAAGTTTGAACAAAACTCCAGTAAATCACCATTCTAATATTCGAAAAATGACTCGTCTTCTTTTATTTCAAATCGGAAAAACTACATTGGATCGCGATAAAACTGAGTAGTTAAGTAATTACTGTAGGCTTCTTCTCGATCGCAATTGAATTCTCGAAAATATCCGTCTAACACAGCATACTCATCGCTCTTCTTTGTCTTATCGATCAATCTAAGTAGATGACGACTTATGTCCTTCATCTCACTGCCGCCTCTGCCATTATGACGAAAAACGTCGTCAACTCTATCAAACGGGTAAAGTTTTTCGAACAATTGAAACGATTTTTTGTAATTTTCTAGTGCAAGATCAAATTGTTTCCTTGCTTCGTAAATTTTGCCCATGAGTCGATAATGTCGAGCAATTTTGAGCGAGTCTTTCTCTTGCGGTAGTACATTTGATTCAATAATTTGTAACGCAGCAACATAATCTTCTAATTTCATGTACAGTCGAATCATTATCATGAAGTTATCAACTGAATTCGAATACTGTTCTGCTTTCCTACAATGACTCAACGCCGTTGAATAGTCTTTCATTCTTTCGTAGACAACAGCGAGGTTGCTCTCTATCTCTGCGATGCAGCGCACATCAGTTGTCCCTTGCAGAGCTTTCATAAATGTGTCAATTGCCGCTTGGTAATCACCTTTTGTAGTTTGAATCTTTCCTAAGTTGATTTGTATCTTTGTTGTCGAGAAAACACTGAGAGCACTCTTCAAAAGAAAGATCGGTAGATTACTTTGATTTTGCTGCGTTTCATCGTCATTCTCCTCTATTTTGCCAGGTGCCAAATAGCCCATTTCGATCAGTAATGGATTAAGATCATCAGCTATAGTAGTTTCAGTACTTAATTCGATGATTCGATAACGATACAGTTCTTTTAGGTTATGATCGCTGTCGCTGGCCAGATGAAGATGGGCAGTCCAAAAGGGTTTGGTCTGCTCATATGGTGGTTCCATTTTATCTAGACAGAAGATCGTTCCCGCCATAAAGAGGACTTCGTCTTCATCGCTGAACTGGCTACATCCAGAAATCAATGCATAGGGTTTCGAGATAGGCGTTTCAATAGAACGTTCAAAAAGCGGTCTGTTCCACCATGAAACATCAGCTGAAGTGTCTAGTTTCTCGTTAGAGAGACTAGTTGTGATTTCAAAGAGAACACCTTTTCCAGCGTACATTTCAGCAACTGCTAGATCCTGACTTGTCGAGAGGAATGAATTGAAGGAAATGAATTGTCCCACTGACTTCTGTAATTGAATAAGCTCTTCGGGTGACATCAACTGACCACGATATAGAGTCATATCGGATAGTAATTTCTTCTGTTGCCGGTATTGGTTTGCGAGTTGTTCATACAAACCTATAAGAAGTGTAGGTTACTTCTTTGTGCTTTCAGACCTGAATACTAGCTTACTTTTAATAAAATATCGATACAGAACAAGCGTGCCGAAGTCATTCATTCGACAGGCATAATTCAAACATTTATAGATACAACTGTCTTTTGTATACCATTGAAGACTGTTTTCTGGTTGATAATCTTGATGAAACTTCTCAACGACGTCCAACTGCTGTGGATACGTTCTTTTCAGGTACTCAACTAGCTTCTCATTCGAGCTTGATTCCTCTGGTTTAAGACGCAGAAGAATTGCAATGAAGAGCTGTTGCCAAATAAACTGTGCATTATCTGCTCGTACATTTTTGTGTGACTGTTGGAAAACAGTGATCGGAGAGAGAGGTTCTCGATAACGAGCATCTTTTTGCAGGTGGTAGATCAAATCATCACCGTGTGATAGGACTGCTCTAACCTATTAGAAAATATGGTCATTTTTATTTTGCGTTCAAAGATCGAATTTATTCCTTTTCTTTTTACCAGAGCTTAGTAAAGGTGGTTATGCATCAACAACATAAGGAACGCTAATTGCTTATCTTCGGAAAAGTTGCTACACGATCTTTTCCTACGTCAAAAGTGTATGTTTTTAAACAACTACAAGGAGAAATAATCGACAATTTTCTCGGCATCTCAATGTTTTAGTCTACGCCAACTTCAACCGTTAGATCTTAAAACAGAAATATAGAAACTTACCTTCTTGTAATTTTTAGTCCACTGAAGATGCAAGTCTCTGTTCGAACAGTAAACATATATGGCGAGAACTTGTGAAAGATTGTTAACAGTAGGAACTAGTTCTTTGCCAAAGTAACCGGAGACAATGAGAATCACTCTTTCTTCGTCTGCTAGCAATCGAATGTTTTCATTATAATCAATGATATTATCAAAAATAGTTAGTTCATTGTTAAAAAATTCATTGAGTTGTTTCTGTAAATAAATATCATCTTTCGCATTTTGATCGAGCCAATGAAGTTTGTAAGTATTCGACAATGATACGTTTTGTACGGTTGATGAAAACATTTTCTTTTACTTTTTACTATAAGTATCTACTTTACTGCAATCTGTAAGTTAACAAATATGTGTGCTCTCATGTGCTGACTGATAAGGAATGTTTTATAACTGACAATATTTGACGAACGGAAGAAGAGAAATAAAAAAAAATAAAGAGAGAACTGCTGCGCAAATCATAGAAAGAAGAATGTTTCGTTAAGAAGTTCGTCATCTGCTGAATTACGACCACCATTTGTTGTTTCAAAAGCCGCTTTAGCTCATAAATTGTTTGTATTTATATCACGAAAATATTTCTTTACTTTTGAAATTTCTTGGTTGATATTTTGACGGAAAGTTTTGTTCATCTTTGCAAATGTTTACTACTAATATAGTTTGTAGTACAAATAATGAAGAATACTTGTTTGATTTTTACTTACTTTGTGAAGATTTCTTCACAGAGTAAAGTTGAGGAAAATGTTTGGAATGGAAATGCCAGAATTACTTGATCGCAATGGATAAATGAAAATGGTCGTGCAGAAAAAAAAAGGAATTTTCAGGAAGTGTTAACGAAGCAGTCTTGTTGTTAAAGCCTAAAGTGGAGTATTTTTTGTTTCGTGTATATATTAAACGAGATCAATCAAAGTTTTTTGAAAAATTCAGGCAGAAGATAGTGACGAACAGATTGTATTGCAAGTTGATTTTGCCAAAAATTTTAATATGAAAGAACAAGATGAAATTCAGAAGGCTCATTAGAATTCAAGAGGGTGGGTGTGGGTGTGGGTCGTTGATTGGTTCTTTTGAGGTGGGTATGTTGACGTGGATGATTGGAATTGGTGATCGCCGGCTCCGTGCCCTGAGTTCAGGAGTTTATGTAGGTTAGATGTTCAGTTCTTGTTGATTTGTTTATAATCGAATATGAAGGCGATGTTGAGTGGGGATCCCTGGGAGTAGTGTCAGAAGGCAGTTGAAATCACCAGTATGTTCCAAATTTTATGTAACTGCAACTGATCTTTGGAGTAATAAAAGAACGACGAACAAGCGTGTGTATCACCGTAGGTAAATGCAGTAATTGCGGAAAATAGAGATATGAAAAGTTACATTCACTAGAATGAGACGTTTCAAACGGAATCCTGATCCATTGAGTTAACCCTATTTAATATATGGCAATTTGACAATGACAAAGAAACAAAACTTCGGCGAGTAAGTATTGATTATTGTTGGTGGTCTTAGTAAATTCAGATTAATAGTAAAAATATTCTTTTGTAGTTGAGTGTTTTCTCCAGTTGGACTTATAAATGGGAGTTAGAGTTGCTTTTTCACGGATTAGCCGATTTCTGGTTGGAATAGCGTGTTGTCTCGTGGTAGTGAAGTTGGTTGGCTGAAGTGTGTAGATGAGGGTCAGGATGTCTGGAAAGTGACATTGACTTTGAGCCGACTAAGATTAATGTTTGACGATCTATGTTTTTGACTCTTGTGTATGCTTCGTGGCGCATTTGATTGGTTGTGATGTTGTTCGATTGAAGTGGCCCTAGTGTTTATTGCATTGCGTCATCGTTTGTTTCTTCTTATTGCATATTGCATTGTTAGTATAAAACTTAGGTTTTTATATGCCTCTCCAAAAAGAGTAGGAAAAACTGAGTATTTTACTTTCAGAAGTTACTCAATATATCTGCGCCAAAACATTTGAATTGTTTTTTCGTGTATAAAATTGTTAGATCAATTTGTCTCACAATTGGGACACGAAAAAAATACCTGTCCTCCACAGTCGAGGGTTAAGTGAGTCGGCACGGCGAGCGTTACTGTTGTACAATGAGCAGCGCTGTTGAAGAAAAATCTGGATGACGGAACTCTTTTTGAAAGATAGTTTTATTCTATTTACTATCGATTTTGAATAAAATAATCGATTTGCAAATGACAATCTGTAAAGAACACAATCAAAGGCACCGAAAACAAGGGAAATTATACCGAGTGGCTTAAGTTAAACTCAATAGCATATACCATGTATCTGGCCATCCGCTCATATCTTTCTTGGACAGAAATTGCCTTATTCACTATCACTTAGTTATTCATTGTTTCCGTTCTAAAGAGAACCATAAGTTTGTTGATTTGATAGACAAGGTGCAGACTGGTAACTCATCCTTACGAGATTTTTCTCTATGAAAAAGAGAAAAGAGAAATGGATTGTTTTTCAAAAGTAGATTATTTCTCTCATTTCCATTAAAGAAAACTAGAGTATCGTGATACGCGGAAGAGAAATTCATCATTTTGCACGAGACAAGGAGCTTTCCTGTAAAGCGATGAACGACTCAAGCAATGATGCCGATTCCAGTATCGCATATAAATCACCTGTTCTTTGGTTATGGCTTCTCCTTGTCTTCATCGGATTTTCTGTCCTTTGTTCAGTTTTCCTTCTTATTCATTTTCTTGCCATCCGATCTCTTCGTCAAGCGATCAACAACCACATTGTTATCGTTGTTCTCATTCTTAGTCTCATCTATACTTTATTCGATGCTGGAAGTTCCATCACATATTATCGTTTGAATCGTGTTGTTTGGCCTCAATCACCTGTGTTTTGTTACATTTGGTTATTTATTGATATTGGAATCTACAACACAATCACAGTTCTGTTAGCTTGGGGTTCATTCGAAAGACATATTCTTGTATTTCATCATCAATTAACCAATACTCAATGGAAGAAAATCTTCGTTCATTATGTTCCATTGTATTTTCTTCTCAGCTACATGACTTTGTTTTATGTTATAGTTGTATTTATCTATCCATGTGAGAACTATTGGGATTATTCATGGGCTGTTTGTGGAGTCTCTGGGTGTTATCATGAGAATACAATTTTAGCTTATTGGGAACTTTATTTTCATGGAATTATTCCAATGATGTTGATCGCATTGTTCAATGTGACATTATTAATTCGTGTGATATGTCACAAACGAACAGTTCAGCAGCGAATTGCATGGAAAAAGTATCGAAAGATGGCCATTCAACTACTAAGCATATCTGCATTGTATCTGTCTGTCAATTTCCCACTATTTCTCATTGCGATGTTAAATTTAGTAGGATTATTTTTGAATAATCCAGCGACAGGCGTTCTCTCATTTCTCACGTATCATGTGATCATGTTTTTGCCATTTGTAAGTTTGGGATCATTACCAGATGTGTGGACAAAGATGAAAAATCTTTGTCATCGGAAGGTAATAATTCCAATTTAATCATAAATATTATTTATTATTTGTTTTGTTCGTTGGCTGTATAAAATACAAGTCTTAGTGTAAAACGGACGAGATCTTCATTTATCGATTCCATCTAATTTATGGTCGTATGACATTTAACGAAAGATTATAAAAGCATAACATAATTGTGTGTAAATATAAAAACAGATGCACTTTTAGAATGATGAAGAAAAAAACGTATTTAGTGAACTGTTCACACGAAGGAACTGTAGATGATTTCAACTAATGATGGTTCTTTTTAACCTTGTCTTTAAATAAATTTTATTTGCTTTTAAGAATGCGTTTGGCGCATATTACGATTAACGAATTCGACTGGAATCATAGGAACTCATAATGATGGTAGAAAAAAGATTTTGAATTATTCTGCCCGGAAAGAAATCTTTCACATTAAACTTTCTCATATGAAAGTTTTTCAGTGCAAGGTTGTATTGATCTGCATCATCTTCATCTCTTCGGTCCTTTCGACAAGAACGTGCATCTATCATACTGTTATATGATACCAAAATGTTCCATTAAGAATATCGATTATCAAATCCATCTGGATTCGATTCCTCAACCAAGTCTAAATGAAGTTCAAATTTAAATTCCACGTCTATTCTCTCAATTATCGAGATTTACTGATTAGTGAAGGACATCATCCATTAAAATTGAAAGAAAATCTTGTCCCAGCATCTGACGAAGCAGATGAAATAACAGATATTGGTGATCGAGTTTCATTAAATTTCATTCGTAACCATAATGGCGGACAAGTAACTGAAGAAGTATTTAATATTGCTCTCGGATGAGGATTGGACGAATGTCTTCGTCAATATGGCACTTTTTTAGCTCTTAGTTCTGTGAAAAATCCTCCATTGCTTTTGTATGAAAAAGCTGTAACATTAAGTTGTGTTACTACAGCAGCTTGGAATACTTTGTTTGGAAATAATGATAAAATTTTGTGACTCGGTCAGGCTGTGCTTGTTCAAGGAACTCTTGAAGTTGGCGGCGAAAATACCCTGAAACAATCAGTTGATGAACTGGTATTTGGCAGTTTGATTCACTTAATTAGGTTTCTTCGTCAAGGAAATGGTTCGAATTTGAGTTCATCCGAATTTGCAATGAATGTGTTGATGAAAAATGCCAATGTTCATGAAGTTTTAGTGGACAGTGTTGAATAATTCAATGCAATGACTGCTGCGATTGAAACACATAGAATCAAACCAATGGTTGATAAAGTTTTTTTTTTTAAATTTAAATATGCAAAAAAAGCGTATGAATATCAACGATCACAATTCCATCAAATATATCTCATATAGAATTATGTTGTTTTGTTTTTCTTTCTCATCAAATGAAATGTAAAAAGTTCTTCTTCTTAGACTCTTTTGAACGTACATTATGTGCCTCAATGAGATCATTTACAAATATATAAATTTAATATATCACTGTCGAAGACAATTTTAGTTCGACATAGATTGAACAGTACAATTTAGCATTATTCACAGCATTACCATTTCATCCGTCAGCAACTAATATTTTTCCATTTAAATAATATAGTTGCTGTATGATAATATCCTGCATTAATTATCCATACTTTCGGTTATGGTTCAGTTCTGCATGGAAAAACACAAGTCAATATAACAAAACATATTGGTGAAGAACAGTAATCAACAATAAAATCATCTCAATCCATGCTTTTGAAACACAATTTTGTCGTTAACAAAGGTAAACAAACAACTGATGATGATGAACAACAGGAATTAACATTACAGATCGAATCAATTGACGAATAACTATCTACACATATAAAGAAGAAAATTTCTCTGATTATTCGGTATGCATTCATCTCCTAAGTGACCGCGCTAACCAAATTTTTCATCTTGTTTTCTTAGACCTTAACAAAGGTCAACGGGTATGAATGGGAAATATGAATGAAGTTTCAACCAGGTAATTAGTTGATTATTAACATCATTAAATTTGCCACGATGCTTCCCGATCTAGAAGAAAGTTTAGAAAAGGTTGACACCATTCGTAGACTTATAGGGAGAAGATGTCTTGATCAAATTTCATTCAAACAGTTCAATGAAAGGCACTATCACTAAACTCTGAATAAGATCGAGTGTTCACAACGAGGTATCTGAAAGGAATTTCATTCAGGAGATCTTTGTATAAATTAACATCAGGAAACCTCTCCCTTATGACTTCGTTTACTCTTAGGAAGATTGAGAAAACTAAGAAGGATCTTCAAAGTACGGATGTTCATCAAGGCGTATATACAAGGTGTTGAAGAGGGGTGAATATGAAGGATATGAGATATGAAATGATGGAAGAGTCAGAATGAATTTTAGTGAAAAAAGTCATTTTAATTATTTGTGATGCACAAATAAACTTAGGTAAGTATTTTGTCTAAAGAGATATAACCGAAATTGTCGCTTCGTTCGTTCCACGGCGAGAAAGATCACGGTCGCAAGTGTAAAAATGTCGAGCTCGTTGATTTTTGAATCGACTACATTTTTTCAACACATGAAATGTTCATCATAGATGTTTCTCATTATGTCATCGAATCTTTTCACTAGTTTATTGACAACAATGAAAATAGTTTATAACAGACATGAGTTTGAAAAGCAAAGTAAATTGGAAGAGAAAAAAGTCTCTTTTCAAATATTTCCTAACAAGAAAACTAAAGTATTTTGTCTAGACGAAAGGATAGAAATAAGAACATTTGATGATGCGCCAGTAAATTAATAGAAGATAGAAAGAAAAAAACGTAAAATATAATTAAGAAAATGATTTTTCAATCTCGACAGATTCGATTGTCTTTGAGTTAATGATGTTCTCGTGCCATTTGGACAGCAGCTGTTTGACCTGATATTGGCACAATTAGATTGTTTTCAACTATTAATCTCCATCGTTTTGTCCACAATCTTTTCATTTGTTCTTTAAATTTTGATCTTAATTCATGTTGATTGAAGAAAATTGTAAATACTATGAACAACTGATATATTACCGTAAGATATGCTAAACACATTTCCAGCATTTGTGGAATACCATACATGAATCCAGGAAATATGCTTCGGAATGCTTGACGAAGCGCCCATGGCAGTTGGATTACAAGATAGAGAATTGTGAGTGGCAGAAATTGTTTGAAAAGTTTTTTCGTACGTTTCCATGTTTCCTGCATTCTTTGTCTATGGTTAGCGTCAATAGAATTTCGTGAAAGTAGTTTCAACATGTGTAGTTTTTGATAGACGACATGTCCTATTAGCCACAGATCAAAAACGACGGTTATAAAAACTGGCAATGTGTAACTGATGATTTGAGCAGAACTATATAAGAACGGGGAAGCTTTTTGATAAAAACAAGGATATTCGCAGATTCTTCTAATCGGATCATAAGCTTTCATGTCTCCACAAGGAAACAAAACATACAAGTAAAAGTCGAAACTAATAATAAAAACCAGAATGAAAATAACTGGAAAATAATGGAAGAGATATTTGTTCACTTTTGTCATTCGTGTAAAGCTGGGAAAAAAGATAAGCAAGTAACGTTCACAGCTCGCCAAAGCAACTAGCCAAAGTTCAAGAATGTAAAGTGTACTGTCGAAAAAATGAGAAAAGATGCAAAAAATTTGAGGATTGTTTAAACTTGCAACATAAGAAGTTCCTTCGACTTGTGGAATTAACATAAAAGGTATATCGATACCTGTTACGAAAATTGAAACGAGTAAAAGACAAACAATAGTAAAAGTAAAGAAACATTGTCTCGGTTGTTTTTGTTGGTAGACAAAATAGTGAATTAGAAGACCAAGGTTGCAAATGAAAGAGGGAATATTGAAAAAAACAAAAATATAAAAGAATACTTTGCTTTCCAAATCAAATGCAGAGTTCTCAAACGATGAGCCATTTGAAGTGGAATTTGATGTCATAGGAGACGTTGTTGAAATTTGATCTTGCATAGTCATGTGAGGAAATCTTTTTGAACTTCTCAAATCGAATCTAAGAATTATTTTGTATTTTCTCGCTTACTTCGTCAACAAAAGTGATGAGAGTACATTTTCAAATGTCATCTTTTATATAAAAATAAAAAATGCTTATCTCTATCAATTATCTTCACTCAGAAAGAAGATCATAGTGATAGATGAATGACATTTATAATCCTTTTTTTTACAGATTGTGTCTTTGTATATGTTTCTCATTAAAATCATCAAGGCTGAAGAATTTCTATTTGTCGTTGTTGTTCAAGCAGAGTAAATATGTCTGAAACGTAATTGAGTTTATTTTCAAATCAATCAACGGACACATTCCTGCCACGAATTTACATATTTTATTTTCGAAAAAGCAAATTAAATCCTAATAAAATCGCTCGTTGTTCTATAACTACTACCAAATCATACCGCTGAATTTTGATCACTTGTGACAATGACATCAAGTGCATTGTATTTTATCTTTCATTGTAGTTGTAACCAACATCTATCAAAACATATAAGTGATGATTTGCACCTGATTATTATTTTTTGGACGTCTTGACATGAAACAAACGCATTCAATGGGGATTTTTTTTCCAGTAGAGACTACATGTCAATGCGATCCTGTTAACACACGCACCTGAACGCATTTATGCGGGTTGTAAAAAAGAAACATTATTCCGGTGAAATGAATAATTGTTTTTACATCGTGCACCTTGATAACTATGGAAAATCTTTTTATAAACGAGATTAAAAACAAGATTTTGTGTTGAAAAAGCAGTTTTATCAAAAATTTTATTATGATTCGGATACGAATGAATGTGCGAGTTTTGTTTTATTTATTCGTATTGAATCATAATTACCCTCAAAATGGGAAGAAAATCTGTTATCGATATTCTTGAGAGTGAAAAGATAATATTACGGAAAGTTTAATACAATGACACAAATAAAAGTAACTACAATGTGGAAATGTGTTTGACACGACTGATCGTTATTTATTTTTACTCATTTAAGAAATCATCATATACGAAGTAAAGAACTCGGAAGATAATTTCTTTCATCCTTTCAGTCGGAAGAATAAAGAATAAGACAACGCATTTCAATACTATCTTGTTCGATAAGTGTTGACGAAACATTCTCATTGATAAAAGCTGTATGAGCACCAAATTGAGCAACATCCGATTTACTATCAAAAATTTTGAAAATAAACATTTCATTTGATCGCATTTCGCTTAAATAATACCATTTTTGAGTATTTTGACTATTGTGTGAAATCGTGTAAATCGAAACAGTAGCAACAGTTCCTCGAACTTCTGACAAATGAATATCGTTGTTAAGATTTAATGAACGATAATCGCATATTGCCAAAGGAATCTTTCTTATAGGATACAAACCCAATGGTCGCCAAACATTAATAATTTGAAAACGTTTTTGCATTATTTTCTTACTTTCTTCTTCACCAACGATTTCTTTTAATTTAAAATAAGCTCCCGATGGATCATTATCAACATGTGGATAAAATATTGGATTCTTATGAGTTGAATCACATTGATCTACAGAACGTGATGGTCCTCTAGAGCGTGTTATATGATTGAAAATGATTACATGAGAAGCATTCAAACGCTTTTTGAGTATATTAACGATTTCTTCATAATAATACCGTTGAGTTTCACTATTATCATCAAATACATTAAGTACATTACCGTCATATTTAAGTATTTCAAAACCATTAATATCAAGATCAACACTATTTTCTTTACCACGCAAATCATGAATAGTAACTCGTTGTGGTGTTCGTGCATAATTCGTAGTTGTCCATCCTAGTTTAGGATTACTATCCATCCATGGAGCACAACCATCGATTGTATGACTAAAAAAATTGATTTCTGCAATAGTATCACTACCCATCTGCCAGCCAATAGAGATGAAACAAAAGAAAATGATAATAAAATTAAATGCAAGTCTTTTTGTTTTACTTTCTTATCTTTCTCAAATACGATAAACAAGGTTAGTGAAATGTTTGAATATCATCCGATGCACAAACCTTTGACACTTACAAGTTTCACCGCCAACACAATCCATAGTCATAATTCAAATATAGATGTTTTTAGGCATTTGCATATTGATTTGTTAGGGGTAAGGGTGTGGGTTGTCAATGTATTATCATCTTCTACACCCACACCTTCACCCTCACCCACACCCTGCTTTCTCATTACCAGCTTTCTCATCGATTTGTTTGTATATCTGTTGAATAAGGTTAATATTATCACTTATTTTTTTTTCATATTTAATCGATCCGCTCGATCAACCATGACTTGAAATTGCCCATTTTGTTTTTCCAAAGGCATGAGTTCTTTATGTTTTTCTTTTGAAGATAATGTCTCATCGTTATATAATAATTGTAATCTATCAGTTATTAGATCAATATTTAACTCAGTGGTACCCATCTTTGACTAAGATTCTTTACAAAGAATGTTTTTCTATGCAAATAGAAACACAAATAGTCACTTAAGGTAATGCATATGCGACATTTTATTTTCATCAGTATGTTGTCATCGAAAAGTGTTCTGATTGGATACAATATTTACATGTGTGATTTTTCCCATTACGCCGGAACAAATAAAAAGCAATCAGGTTTTTTTTTGCTTGTATAGATTAATTTATTCTCTTTTGGCTCATTTTTCTTCTTGTTTTCCATGTGCTTAGGTAAAGCATGAATTACTGTATCGATACATAAAAATTTCTGCTTTGACTGATTCAATTTCAACTCAATAATTTGCTTGAGGGTGTGGGTGAAGTTCTAAAAGACTTTTTTTCGTTCGATATTTCCACACGACTATATGTACATACTTGCATCGACATCATCCAAGAATTCTATTCGGTCTATAAGATTTTTATTGACTACCTCATTAGTATAAGATGAGAGTTTTATTTGAATATGACATTTGTAATATACTAAAATAAAAATTGTTATCTCAGTTTTATACTTTACAATGAATTTCATAAAAAAACCCGAGTATCATAAAAAAAATACAGAAGGAGACAGACTATAATGTTTATCCTTATAAAGCGCACGTCTTTACATCTTGAAGTAAGTCATGCTTATCAGTTGAGTATAAAAAGATGAAAAAAAACTTGGAACACAATAGAGAAAAAAATCCCATTGAAATAGACGATGTTATTCTTTATCTACATATTGTTTGCTGGTATGTTTCGTGATGTTTCTGCTTTGAAATGTTACAAATGTGATGCAAATCGTGTTGATTTTTGGATCGGTGTCGACAATGTTCCTCCTTTTTTCGATGATTGTCCTGTAGTCGAATCAGAAAAACAATGTTTCGCATCAATTCGATGGTTAACAATTGGAGACTTAAAAGAAAGTCTAGTAGAATATGAAGATGATTCTAGTGAAGAATATCGTCCAACTGATTCTACACTTTCCTATGTTTTTGCTGATGTCGAACGTAATACTGAATCGGCTTCGAGTCGAATTCTTCTCTACAGTTGCACAACAGATCTATGCAATGATCGAACAAATCTACTCCGAGTATTTCAGGCATTAAATGTCGAACAAAAATTTGCACAATTGGACGTTCTGTTTGGTCTTGATAATGTATCATTTACGGAACAAAATTCATGTCTCGACTTTTCAAATGTATCCCGTTCCGACTGTCCTTCAACAGCTATTCCTTTATCTACGTGCTCAAATTGTTTTCTTTTAGCAACGGAAACACCACAACAACTTTGTGCTCGTTGTCCAGTTGATTCATTTAAATATAAGAACATGATAAACCGTCAAGTCTTCTTTTTTCTCGAAAATCGAACACGACTAGCTGATACAACAACACTACGATGTACAACAAAATCTTGTAATTCAATGGAAAACTGGAATCGAATTCGTGAATTGAGTACATTGGAATTTGACTTCAATCGATTTTATTCTTCATCGTCTTCAACTATCTTTCATTCAACATTTATCCTATCATTCAATGTTTTTCTTCTCTTAACATACTTATTCTAAGTCTCTTTATCAGTTCGTTTAATCACGATACATTCATTTTCTTACCACTTAACCAATGAACATTCCAGAAATATATTATCCTCATCTTTTTTGTGCTACAGTTCGATTAAAATGAATTGAAAAGAAATTTCCAACATACATGTATTTGCTTCACCCACACATTGATTTACAATCAAATATCGTTTGAGACGCTAATAACGTCTCTTGTCTACGATTCTAAAAATATCTCTTAGAGAACGTTGTAAGAAAGATTAGTGATACATTCACTCTCAGGTGAAATAGAGAAATATTTTAATCGAATTTTGAGGACGAAAAGATTCGAGAAGAAGGATATTTTTCAATGAAATAGTACCTCATCTCATTTTTGAAAGCACAGTTGTGACATGAATAGTTATACGACAGATGAATTATCGAAGACGGCCCGAGATGTTGGACGCCTCGATCTCCGAACTTGAAGCCACTAAAATATAAACACAGGCAATTATAAATATTGATGAATTCAACAACAAAATTGAAGAAATAAAATCAGTAAAAAGAAAAACATTGAAAAATGTTTTTTAAATGATAATATATTAAATTTCTTATCTAAAGAATAGCTAATGTCTATGTACGGCGTTTTTATGGAATTTGATCAAAGGAAATAATAAACCTGAATTAGGATAAAATGTTATTGACTAGAAAAATGAAATTTTTGTTCCCAATAAGTGTATGTTTATTGTTAATAATATATTGGTTTATCAGACTTCGACTATTTGAACTATTCTTTCATGAGATAAGTCAATTTATTTTCTCAAAGCAATCGAAAGATTGGACACACGCATATATTGTTGTCAACATTTAGAAACAATTTTTAAAAAATGCAGTCTCATGTCCTTGTGTCGCACAATTCGTATTTTTCTTTGTGCCCTAGACTTAATAGTCAATATTTGCTCAGATGCACAGGATTTAGATTTGGAGAAACTAAATTAGTGTAATTGGCACTTTCCGACAACCAACAATAAATGACCGCAGTATCATTTTTCATCACAACAGATATTATCAATTGTGATTCAAAATATTGAGTATTAACCATGAATTGCATTTCGCTCTATACGTGTCTATATATATATATATCGATTAAGAGAATGAAAGTCAATTCATTGGTAGTATCACTTATATTTACAAAACAGTAAGTCGACCCAATATAATACGATGCTATTTTTCCTCTTCAATTTGACAATAGTTCAGCACCCAAATATGATTCAAGCTTCAACTATTGCTTTCCTTGCATTTGTTGTAGCAACAGGTAGTTATAAATAATCTATTTTCTGTAATGAATCTTGACTAGATGTGTTTCTTTAGTCAATGCTTTCACAACATTTGAACTTCAATATCAAAATGCAACGTTGGCACATCACAATTATTTGCGCGCTCGTCATTGTGCACCACCTCTTCAACTTGATAATAAATTGAATACAATAGCACAAGATTATGCAGATTATCTTGCAAGAACGAATAAATTTCAACATTCAAATAATGGTTACGGAGAAAATCTTTATATGTCAAGTTCATCAGTTCCCATCACAACTGTTGATGGTTGTCAGAAGAATTTTTTCTTATTTTTATAATATCTTATTTTCTTTTCTCAGGACGCCAAGCAACTCAATCATGGTACGATGAAATACAATATTATAATTTCAATAGACCTGGATTTTCTTCAAAAACGGGTCACTTCACACAGGTCGTTTGGGAGAGTTCAGATCGTCTCGGTGTTGGTATTGGTTTCAGCAGTGATGACCGTAAAGTCTATGTTGTTACAAACTATAATCCACCAGGTAACTATCAAGGTCAATTTGGTGAAAATGTATCTCCAGCCAATTGCTAATAAAAAAAAAGAATTCTCTTTTGGATATGAATAAATTCAAAATTTGAAGAAAGAAGAAATCTATGAAATTGTTTGAATATGATCGTTCTTATAAGATCAATTATCTTATTGACAGTATATAAATTGATGGTCTCTCAAGATACTTTCATATGAAGGTACAGAAGAAAACGAAATTGATCTACATCATTTGAATGACTCGAATATACTTGTAGTGTTGACAATCTTTCGCAAAGAATCGAAATTTCATCAGAAGGAAGAACATTCACTGATTCTACAGAAGATTCAGATAAAAGACAAATTATCAATTTGTGTTCTTATAAGATTTCATTGATCGATACTGATTATTTTCTTATTCATTACTATCAGACTTTGGTACAGAAAAGATTTTTACTGAGAAAATAAATCTGAAAGTAAACATGAAATCAGTTCGAATTTCATTTTGTTGTCAGGAAAAAAGAAACGTGTCCTTTCGTCACGCGAGATAGTGGGACAATTCACACCTTCCATTAAATGTTAGACAATGTAGTCCTCCATATCTCTAAACGATGTGTCATGGGTTTTTTCCCTTTCTATTTTATGGTTATCTTCAATCGCGCCCACATGTATGTAGCTGTCATCAGATGTATGTGAGATATAATTTCCTTGCTCTCTCTCTCATCAATAATAAAGATTACGATATGACTGATTATTTAACTCTTCTTTTGCATGTGGAATTGGGTTTTTATGAAGAAATAAGTACGATAAACAGAAGATATTCTTCAAATATTTTTTATAAAACAATAATTTCCGATTTTTTTTGTACATGGATAACATTTCGCTTTCAACTAACCGCTGAACTCAAAGTAGCACTCCCATGGTTAATATCAGCATGATATACATTTGAATAATAGTAGGTTGTAATTTATTAGGAACAGTCATAAAATGTTGTGCTTTTCTAAAATCAATAATTAAATCAAACAACACACTTTGAGCATAAGTAATTGAAGAAGTTTGTCCATAAAACAATCATCATTTCATTTCCCAGGTCGAACAATCCCATACTCGGATTCCATCGGATCCAATACAGAATTTTATCAGATCCTACAGCAATTCGACGGATCCGAAACATGGATTTCCTCGATTTTCTAAGTGTCATCATAGAATATAGCTAGAAAGATCGCTCATAAAACTTGCAACAACCGACGGGATTTTTCTAGTCGGATTCCAATGCAATTCCGTTTCCAGGAATCCGATCGGATTTTGTCAGATGGTCGGATCCGGTAAGATCCGATCGG